GAGAAGAGAGAGAGAGAGACAACGAGAGAAAAAGAGAAATAAATTTTTATTTTCTTTTTTTTAATTATATTCCGCAATTTTGTGAAAATTCATTCCGCAGAATGCTTTTCATTATTTTTTCGTTTGCTTTTTTCGCGATTTACATACTGTTTTTACGCGTTTCCAAATCACATTTAGTTTAGAAAAGAGAACTCACTCATACCGTAGTTCATATCACATTATTTTACTTAATATAATTTATCAAGTAACAAACTACATACTATATTAAAGACAACAAAAATAACATTCTAGAAAAATTTAATTCAAAATAAATGTACATGAATAATATTTTTTACTAAAAGATATTGATAAAAAAGAAAGCTTGTTTTCTTTCAGCAGAAGAATACTACTTATATTCATACTTATAATTATATATATATATATATATAAAACCATACTACTTACATACTAAAGTTGGTAGCGTTTTAAAATACTACTCATGATTTTAGTGGCATATAATTTATTACATATATTACATATTTATTTTATACATTCTTCGGAAGAAAAAGAAAAAGAAAAAAAGCATAAGATATAAAAAAATATGAATATAAATTGTAATTAAATATAAAATAAGATATGATATTGTTTGTTTCAAAGGTATATTATTACAATATCTATTAATTTTCTTTCTATACACTTTCTTTTATAATTAAATTTTACATACCAATTTGCAATTGCAGTTTTATATGTAATTTCAAATTTATTTTAATTGTGACAATATTAACAAATAATATAAACTCAAAGAGCTCAAACTTCTGTTGAAAATATTGTCACATTTCTAACGATTTTGCAATGTGCATACATTCTAATTATTGTTTTATTTTATGTCATTGTTTTATTTATGACGTCCAAATTAGATTTATGTTTTTAAATAAAACTATGTATTTTTTAGGAGCAAAATAATGATACAATAATATAATGGAAAGATTTCTCGTAATGTGTTGAAAATAATTGTTACAATCGTAACAATTATCGTAATCAATAAAAAATTTATATGCATAAAAACTGCAAGTTAATATATTGTATATCTTCTAATTGTCACGTCAAGGCAATTACTAACATGTCGAAACTATAATAATATATTATAGATCTTTCTTATTTGAAAACCAACTTGAACTTTGATAAGTAAGTAAATAAATAATTTAATAGATATATATAAGCACTGACACGTGTGTACTAAAATTTGTACTAAAATGCATAATATAAAATACATTTTTATGTAGTATTAAATGTACCGATAAACTTAATATTCAATGACATCGAATAATAATAATTTGGCAAATTCTCGAAAACAATAATTTGTTTTTATGTGTTACATAATTCACACGATATTTGATAAACATATATGTATATATAAAGTAACATTTTTGAAGTAACATAGAATATTTATTGCATTGACAATATATACAGTTCGCTTACTTTGGACTATGGAAACTATGAAATTGATAATAATCTTTACCATTATTGTGACATTGATGGCAACTACAACTACTACTCTACAACAAATAAAGACTGAAGAACCTATAAAGAAACATATAGAGAACCTTTCTGCAAGAGATTAATGCTACATATATATTCTTTTAGTTTAATTATATTTATAAAATTTTAATATTTTTCTCTTTTC